GGGATATTGGGCAGGAATTGTTCCCTGGGAGGGTGGGCAGGCCCTGGCACAGGGTGCCCAGAGCAGCTGTGGCTGCCCCTGGATCCCTGGCAGTGCCCAAGGCCAGGTTAGACATTGGGCTTGGAGCAGCCTGGGACAGTGGAAGGTGTCCCTGCCATGGCAGGGGGTGGCACTGGATGGGCTTTAATGGATGGGATGTCCCTTCCAACCCAATCTATTCTCCATGCTCGACATTCCTCACCTCACTTGGACACGCTGTTGTCACTCTGTCCCCAGGTGCACCCACCCTCCGTGTGGCACCAGGGTTTCATTGTGGCCCTGCAGGGCTGGCCTGGCCACTGTGGGTGTGGGGACAGCAGGGATGTGCTGGGAGCAGCACCCAGGGCTGTGGGGACACACGGGCAGCTGGGACCATGGCAAATGGCCCCACAGTGGCACACACCCCTGGGCAGTGGGGGCCCAGACAGTGGCACTTTTAGGACACCCAGAAGTGTCAGAGCACCACCAGTGCAAGGGTGGCTGCTTTCCATCCTTACTGGAGTCTCTGTCCTGAGGTGGGGGGTTGAGCTGTGGGGTGGCCTGGGGGGCCTTGGGGTGCCCTGCATGAGGGACCTGGAGGGGCCCTGGGTGTGATGAGGACAGTTTTGGGGTATCCTAAACAGGAGAGGTCTCTGGCTGCCCTCGAGGGGATCTTGGGGTGTCCCAGATGGGAGGGGAGTGAGAGTTTGGGGTGCCCCGTGTTGGAGGTGCCCGAGGAGGCTTCTCTGTCTGCCCCAAGGGAGGTCCTGGGATGCCTCTTATGCAGACCCTTGGCTTGTCCCAAATCAGGATTACCGAGGTGCCCGAGCCGGGAGGGGTCTTGGGGTGCTGCCGCCCCAGGAGCTCTTCCGGCCTGGGGGGGCTTGGGGGCAGAATGGGGGTGAAGAGAAGGGGGGAACATTATCCCCTCCCCCTCCAGTTAGCGACAATTACCGGCCATAAAGGGCTGAAGGCGGGGCAGGGGGAGTGATGCTCTTTTGGGTTTACCCTTTTTTCTTTTATATATTCTCTCTATCCTTCAGTTGTTGCTTTGTAGCTTCATGTTGTAGCCTAGTTCCACACTTTTCCCAGGCAGAAGAACAAAACAACTTCCAGGATCCCTGTGCTATCTTGGTTTGACTTAGAAACCAAGGCTGAAACCAGCTGAGATGTCCTTTTGTAAACAGGGCCTGGATCTTATCCTAAGGGGGGGAGCCTACAGGCTGCTAGAACTGAGGGAATTATTTCAGCAGGTGCTTTTCTAATTGGAGGATTCTTGTCAGATATGCTAATTTGCAGAATCTATAAAAACCCTACACATCACAGGCAGTGTGCATCTTCAGCCTTTTCTAGATGACAAATCTGTGCACCTGAGGATCTTCATATAAAGGTACCCTTTAATCACTCTAATGTGTTTGATTCATATTTTTAGGGTCAGTGACAAAGGCATCAGGAGGACTGGCAGGAGCAGCAGGGGAGGGTCACACTATGGCTATGGGGGACCCCATGGCTGTGAGGGACCTGCATGTGCAGGTGAGGGGCTCAGGGGTCCCACCCACGGTGCTGTGAAGGAGCTGGAGGGAGTTTCACACCCTTCCTATAGGTCTGGAGGGCTCTCACCTGGGAAATGAGCGGCAGGGACTGAACCTCCACAGAGCACCTGGAGTCCTGGGACCAGCCAAAACCTCCTCCCTCCCTGCTTGTGAGGCATTTGGAAATGCAAAAGCAACCAGGAATGACAACAGCAGCCACTTTGAGAAATACTCAGAGATTGGATTTATCCAAGGGAATGTCACAGGGGCCACCATCAAAACCTGCCTGCTTGAGAAGTCCTGTGTCACCTTCCAGGCGGGTCTCTGGGGTGGGAGCCCCAGTCCTTCAAGTGGGAGGTTGTTCTTTCTGAGCATCCCTGGGGGGTGTGACCCCAATGCTGCTGAGTTGAGCCAGGAGAGGGGAAGGTGTCTCTTGCCCCCAAATCTGGGGCTGCAGTGCTGCTGCAGGGTGGCCCATGACTTCAGAGTGACTTCATTGTTCATCCACAGGCAAAAGAGGAGATGAGCTACCAACATCTACCAGTTCTGCCTGAGCTCCAGGGTCTGGGTCTCTGTGAATGTCCCCACATGTCCCCACAACCCCCATCTCTGCCAGCCTATCCCATGCTGGGCAGTGCCAGCCCTTCTGCCCTCCCAGCTGCTGGCTGGGTGCTGGAGGGGGCTTGCTGATGATAATCACAGAATCACAGAATGATTTGGGTGGGGAGGGACCTTAAAGCTCATCTCCTTTTGTCCTCTTCTATGGGCAGGGACACCTTTCACTGTCCCAGGCTGCTCCAAGCCCCATCCAGCCTGGCCTGGAACACTGCCAGGGATCCAGGGGCAGCCACAGCTGCTCTGGGCACCCTGTGCCAGGGCCTGCCCACCCTCCCAGGGAACAATTCCTTCCCAATATCCCATCCAGCCCTGCCTTCTTCCTGCTGGATGCCCAGGGCTGAGAGGGGCTGGTTTGGAGCCCCATGGGGCAGGGCTGTGCTGGGTCCCAGCCTGACACATGTCCCTGTCAGGTGGGGCAGGGTCCTTCCACTGCACCTGCCGGCCCAATGCTCCAGTGCCCAGAGATGCCGAGGGCTTGGAGAGCACCTGGCACTCCCGGCTCCTCCTGGGTAAGGTCCTGGCTGTGCAGGGGTGGGCAGGGCTGTCCCCAGGGCTGGCTGTCCCCCTGTCCTCACTCTGACCCTGGGGTAAGAGTGCTGGAGAGCCTGGCTGTTTACTGAGAATTCCATCCCTCTGCTTTGTGGGATGTGGGGGCAGCCTGGGGGTCCCTCATGTGGGTGGGCATGAAGGACCCCTCCCTTGCTGCACCTGCAGGTGTCACTGAGTCCGAGCAGCTGGAGTTGTTCAGCATTTTGGCTGCCATCCTGCACTTGGGACACGCTGTGATCAGAGGATGGCATGGGCGTGTGGACAGCTGTGTTGTGGAGGTAGGAGAGGGCTTGATGCCCCCACAAACTGTCCCCAGAGCTGCAGCCAGGCCAGCCTCAGTGAGCAGACTGTCCCTTCGCAGCCAGGCAGCGAGACCCTGGGGCTATTCTGTGCTCTGCAGGGCATGGAGGTGTCACAGGTGATGCGCTGGCTCTGCCACCCCAAGCTGGTCACTGCTGGTGAGACTTTGTGACGCCGCTGTCCAGGCAGGATCCCTGGGATGCCCTGGCCAAGCACATGCACAGACAGGTCTTCAGCTCGATGGGGAGGAGGGTCAGCCGTGCCCTGCAGTCGCTGAGGGGTCACCACACCTCCACTGGTATCCTGGACATCTGGGTAAGAGCAGCT